TGGGGGTGTGGTGGGGGTTTGGGGGCTTGGAGGGATTGGGGAGGGGTCCAGGGGTTGTTTTGGGATCTGGGGTACCATGGCTTTGCAAGGGGGGGGGTTTGGATTCAGAGAGGTTTGGGGGATTTGGTGAGGTCGGGAGGTGTTTTGGGGTACCATGAGCTGTAATTTGGGCTCAGAGGGGTCTGATGGCAAATTGGGGAGGGGTCCGGGAGGTGTTTTGGGGTGATGTGGACAGTAATGGGGAAGGGTTCGGGATTTGCGGTACAGCGGGGTTTTGGGGTGCGGGAGGATAACGAGGGGAGATTTGGGGTGCTGAGGGGGGATGGGGGAAYATCTCCGCGGGGTGCTGAGCCCCCTCCCCACGCAGCTGCACCCCGGCGTGGGCCCGGGCCAGGGCACGGTGGTGGAGCTGCTCCTGACCGCCCAGTTCGTCCTGTGCGTCTTCGCCAGCTTCGACGACCGTCACGACGGGCGCCCGGCCATGGCMGCCGTGCCCGTCGGCTTCTCCCTCGCCCTCGGCCACATCTTCGGGGTAAGAGCGGCCGGGGAGACCCCCGAGCTGGGACCCCGGGGGTCGGGGAGGGGCTGGGGGGCGGCCGTGCAGCCCCCCACCGCCCCCTCCCACTGCAGATCCACTACACGGGTGCCAGCATGAACCCCGCTCGCTCCTTCGCCCCCGCCGTCATCACCCGCAGCTTCGCCAACCACTGGGTAAGAGAGGGGGCACGGGGACCCCCAAACCCGCCCCGGGTTCCCCCAGTCCCTCCCCGCTTGTTCCTGAACTGCCCCGGGCACCGCGTCCCCGTTGGGGGCGGGCGGCTGGCGGTGTCACCACGGTGACAGCAGCACCCCCGAGCCCCGGTATCCCGGGCGGGGACAATCGGCCGCTCACCGGGACGCGGGTCCTGTCCTCCGGTATCCCGGGCGGGGACAATCGGCCGCTCACCGGGACTCGGGCGGGGACACACGGCCACCCCCCGTTCACCGGGACACGAGTCCTGCCCCCCCGGTATACCGGGCACGAATAATCGGCCGCCCCCCGGTCCCCCGGTATCCCCGGCGGGGACAATCGGCCGCCCCCGGTATCCCGGGCGGGGACAATCGGCCGCTCACCGGGACTCGGGCGGGGACACACGGCCACCCCCCGTTCACCGGGACACGGGTCCTGTCTCCCGGTATACCGGGCACGAATAATCGGCCGCCCCCCGGTCCCCCGGTATCCCCGGCGGGGACAATCGGCCACCCCCCGTTCACCGGTACACGGGTCCTGTCCCCCGGTATCCCGGGAGGGGACACACGGCCACCCCCCGTTCACCGAGACACGGATCCTGTCCCCCGGTATCCCGCCGGTATCCCGGGCAGGGACAATCGGCCACCCCCCGTTCACCGGGACACGGATCCGGTCCCCCGGTATCCC